TATAGCTTGTCCTCTACTTATGACCATAACTGAGCCCAAATTGATGTTGCTAAGCAAGACGTTTGTTAAGCGGGTTTGGCCCCATTTAATATATCCTTTTAATTGTTTTTAATGTTTGTATTGTATGTTTTTAGCTGGTTGTACACCGCCCTGAGTCCCTTGGGAGAAGGTGCGGTATATAAATTTGAAATAAAATAAAATAAAATAAAATAAATAAATTTTACGACTGTTCTTGCCATAGTTGTTAAGTGAATACTTCAGTTGTTGTTAATAATTGATTATTAGTTTTATTTTATTTATTTATTCATTTTATTAATCATATTTCTATGCCGCCCACTCTCCGAGGACTCTGGGTGGCTTACAACAATCGACAGTATACTAAATAGCATCCTGCCCCCAACAATCTGGGTCCTCATTTTACCCACCTCGGAAGGATGGAAGGCTGAGTCAACCTTGAGCCGGTGAGATTTGATCTGCTGATCTGCTGAACTAGCAGTCAGCTGAAGTAGCTGCAGTACAGCACTCTAACCTCTGCGCCACCTTGGCTCTTTTATAACTGGTTATTAGTTTTAATAACTAATAATAACTTAATAACTTTGGTCACTAAGTGAACTATTATAAGCCGAGGACTACCTGTATAGTCCAAGAAAGCAAGGAGGGTCCCTTCTGAATCTCCTCCTGCTCCCCTTGTGCATCTCTGGGCTATGCGTCCTCTTCCCCGATCATTCTCTTGACAGCCTCTCTTTGCCCCATCACGCTAGGCCAGTGACAGCTAACCTTTTTGCCGTCGTGTGCCAAAAGCGTGGGGAAGCATGGGGGGTCACACCCACGCATGCCCACACCCATAATTCAGTGCGCCCCACTCCCCACACATAGGCACGCGTGACACCCCTGCGCTCCTCCCGCTTTTGGCACGTGATGGCACGGTGGGCACAGTAGGCCCGTTTTTCGCCCTCCCCAGGCTCCAGAGGCTTACTTGGAGCCTGGGGAGGGCAAAAACAGCCTTCTCCATCCCCCTTGAGGCCCTCCGGAGGCCGAAAATAACCTTCCGGTGGGCCCAGAATGCCTGAAAATCAGCTGACTGGCACGTGCCAGAGCTGAGCTAGGGCAATGCTCGCGTGCCCACCAATATGGCTCTGCGTGCCACCTGTGGCACGCGTGCCACAGGTTCGCCATCACGGCTCTAGGCCACCAGTGTCAAACTCAAGGCCTGTGGGAAGCATCAGGCCTGTGGGGTACTTAGATGTCATCTGCAGGGCCCGCCTGAAAAGAGCAAAGGACCAACCTGCGGGGCCTCTGTGTGGTCCCCCCGGACAGAGGACTGCAGGAGGCCGTCCAGACCGAAAATGGGGCACGGGAAGGGCTGCAGGCCCCCCACCCACCCACAGGCTCCGTTTTGTTTGGCAGAGGGGTAGCAAAACAGACTAAAAACCAAACCAAAGGAGAAATGTTTCCCCTTTTGCATTTGAGCATCCAAGAAGGGACAGGAAAGGAGAAAGGGGAAGAGGAAAGACAAAGAAGAAGGGAAGATGGGAAGAGAGCAAGGAAGGAAAAAGAAGGAAAGAGGGGAAGGAAGAAGGAAGAATGAATGGAGAGGGAAGGAAAAGGGAGGGAGGGAGGAAAGGAAGGAAGGAAGGAAGAGAAAGAAGGAAAGGAAAAGAAAGGAAAGGAAAGGAAAGGAAAGGGAAGGAAAGGGAAGTTGAAAAGGAAAGGATAGGAAAGGAAAGAAGGAAAGGAAAGGAAAGGAAAGTTGAAGGAAAGAAGGAAAGGAAAGGAAAAGAAAGGAAAGGAAAGGAAAGTTGAAAAGGAAAGCATAGGAAAGGAAAGAAGGAAAGGAAAGGAAAAGAAAGGAAAGGAAAGTTGAAGAAAGGAAAGGAAAGAAGGAAAGGAAAGGAAAGGAAAGGAGGAAAGATTATAATGAGAGGGAGGGAGGCTCTCAGGGAAGTCCTGCCTTAGCACTTGGCCACCACAGGTGCCCCTGACACGAGTACGGTGTCATGCCCACCATGCCCACGCCCCTGGTCATGCCCCCCGGCCAGGGGTGAAATGTAAAATGTGTTACTATGGGTTCTGTGGGCGTGGCTTGGTGGGGGGTAGTAATGTGACTGGGTGGGCGTGGCCAATTTTTTTTTTTAAACTTTTCAAAGCATTTTTTCTACAACCTCTTCCAATGAAAAAACACTCTTAAAAGTAAAAAAAAAATAAGCCTCTGCTGATCAGGCAACTCAGCTGGGATCGTCAGAGACTTTTCAAAGCATTTTTTTTTACCACCTCTTCGGCCAAGAGGTTGCAGAAAAAAATGCTTTGAAAAGCCTCTGACGATCCCAGCTGAGCCGCACGATCATCAGAGGCTTATTTTTTTTTCTTTTAAAAGCATTTTTTCTAATGCTTTGAAAAGCCTCTGCTGATCAGGCAACTCAGCTGGGATCGTCAGAGACTTTTCAAAGCATTTTTTTTTACCACCTCTTCGGCCAAGAGGTTGCAGAAAAAAATGCTTTGAAAAGCCTCTGACGATCCCAGATGAGCCGCGCGATCATCAGAGGCTTATTTTTTTTTTACTTTTAAGAGTGTTTTTTCATTGGAAGAGGTTGTAGAAAAAATGCTTTGAAAAGTTAAAAAAAAAAAGCCTCTGATGATTGTGCAGCTCAGCTGGGCATGGTGGGGGGGGGGGCACAGGGATTTTTGCTACCGGTTCTCCGAACCACCCGCCGCCATCACTACCGGATCGGGCGATCCGGTCTGAACTGGGAGCATTTCACCGCTGCCCCTGGCCCTCCAAGGTCAAACAAAACCCTGATGCGGCCCACAGTGAAATCGAGTTTGACACCCCTGTTGTAGGCCTTTCTCACATATCATTCAGGAACTCCTCGACTTACAACCACAATTGAGCCCACCATTTCTGTTGCTAAGCGAGACATTTGTTAAGGGAATTTTGCCCCATTTTACGACCTTTCTTGCCACGGTTGTTAAGCGAATCACTGCCGTTCCTAAATTAGCAACACGGTCATTAAGTAGAATCCGGCTTCCCCCCCCCCCCTCCTCGTCAGAAGGTCACAAAAGGGGATCACGTAACTCCGGGACTTTGCGACCGTCATAAATAGGAGCCAGTGCTATTCTAACTTCGAACGGTCACTAAAGGAACTGTTGTAAGTCAAGGACTACCTCTATAGTAGACCACTGGCTCTTCTGCTATACCGTATCAGGGGCTGCCTGTATCTGCCACTAGGGGGCAATTTAATCCTTCCACTTATTAGAAAGCAAAGGTGAATTGTAAATGAAATATAGACTTTTTTTTGCCACTTGTCCCAAACCCAGAACTTCAAAAAAGATTTTCATCAACCTCTCTTCCCTTCGGTTGTGTTGCCATGTCGTTGCCTTCGCACACAGGCCACACATCTTCAAGTTGCCAAGATTGGGGGAAAAAAACTGGCATAGATTATTATTATTATTATTATTATTATTATTATTATTATTATTATTATTATTATTATTAATTGAATTTCTATACCGCCCTTCTCCTGAAGGACTCAGGGCGGTGAACAGATTAAGATTTCATATACATATAATATTATTATTTTTTTATAAACAGTAAATAATAAATTGAGTCAACTTGGTGTATCTGCTAAGACCTTGGCATAGAATTTAGATGTTTATGCTAGCCCTGCTTGTTGAAACAGAAAGGTCTTCAGGGCACGTCGGAAAGTGCGAAGATCTGGGATTATTTGTATTCCAGGGGGTATTTTGTTCCAAAGAGTAGGTGCCCCCACAGAGAAGGCTCTCTCCCTTGGAACTACTAGACGACATTGTTTTAATGATGGTACTATCATGAGTAGGCCTACTCTGTGATTAGGCCTACTCTGTGAGCGTGTATTGGTTGGTGGGAGGTTATCGGTTGCAGCAGGTGGTCTCGTAAATACTCCTAAGTATAATCCTGTGCTTGTTTCCTCCCCCAAAATACCAGGGAAGGGAGGGGGAGTCATTTAGCAATTGTAAAGATAAGTGCCATTCTTCCTTCCCCACTTCTTCAGTACAAGACAGTCCTCGATTTGCGACCACAATTTGAAGCCACACATTTCTGTTGTTAAGTGAGACATTGGTTGAGTTTTGCGGCCCATTTTATACTTATACTTTACTTTATTGTCATGGGCACCTCGTACAACGACGTTAAATGCCATCTTCAGTGTACATTATAACTATAAAAATAAAACAAGAACACACATCCGTCGCATCCTATGCAATTGAATTGAAAAACCCCTGATACTGCATTAATATTTCGCTGTACCCGGGGTATGCAACCTTAAACACTCCAAGAGCCATTTGGACCCATTTCCCACAGAAAAGAAAACACCGGGAGCCACAAAACCTGGGTGGGCGTGGCCAACTCGACATCACTCACTTTCACCAGTCACATGACACCTCCCTAGCCACGCCTACCCAGCCAGTCATTAGGGCAGAGAACTGGTTGCTAAAAAACAACGGGAACCACAAAACCCTTTTGACATCTCTCTCTCTCTCCCTCCCTCCTCCCTCTCTCTCCCCCCTCACTCTGTATCTCTCTATGTTTCTCTCTTTCCCACTCTCTCTGTATCTCTCTCTGTCTCTCTCTCTCTCCCTCCCCTCTCTCTGTATCTCTCTGTCTCTGCCCTGGCCACTTCTCCGTCCCCCGCCATCGCCCTTACCTTCTCAGGCCAGGTGAGGAGTGACTGGGAGGGGAGGGCGAGGGGTGGTATGTACGCACTGAAAACTCACATTTTCAGTGCGCGGCGAACTGGTGGTAAAATTGCATGAAATCCACCTCTGATCATAAAATGAGACAGTCATGGAAAGTTGAGGAAGCTAGATTGCTGAGGGATTTAGAATCGCAAACAACAGGGCCCCCCTGCCACGTAACTGTTCTGCCCCAGCTACGGACCCCAAAGAACGCAGCACACACAAAGTCCGTACAAACCTTGGTTTACTAATTAAGGACTACTAATGAGTTTTTCTTAGTAGCTGTTCGA